TGCATTAAATACTCATGTTTTTCTAAGTTCTCACTTGGAAGTTGTAATAAATCATTTATAAGTCCTGAACCCAAAGCATTACTGCTGAGGTGCAGTGTTTAAAAAGATAGCTACAGGTATATAAAAAGTGAAGCAGATGTATGCCAAATCAAATACAGCGTACCCAGAGATATTGGGGGTTTGGTTGACCACTACAACGAGTATCTCAATAAATAAAGCATCATGTGAATTTTTGGTGTCCCAGTGAACACAGAAGTGACATTTGTATGACAGTCTATTAAGTGCAATAATATTATCTCCAAAAAAAGGAAAACTATGGGCCTTAATTTAAAAATACTTTATTAACTCTAGTTATCATGTAAGCCTTCAGTGAGTCAGTTATTTTTTGCTGAAGGAGGGTTTGAAATATGAATATTACCAAAGAGATGAAACAGCAAATGCTGTTGGAATAAGGATGCCGATAGACACATGTTGACAGCAGTATTGTCACAAATCTTCGATTTGTATAAAGCAGAGTATCTGCGACATGCAGCACAGTGAAACAAAGTGTGCCTGCAAGTCTCCCTGCCGCACTCGTGTTTCAAAGGTTTCTGGTGTGATTCAGGAGGCACATCAGTGTACTTGCAAAGGTGGGGAAACTGTCTTATTCTCAGGAGGACTGTGGAGGATGCTAACAACGAAGGCACTGAGGGACAGGTGAACCACAAGTACAGAGGACTCATATTATGAACAGTGAAAAGCTACAAAAGAGAGTTACTGGAATGGCTGGGGAACTGCAGGTAGGGTTCCCCTTGCCTCCCCAAAATACAGATCACATATGTAATGTCCTCACATAAAGTAGACCAGGAGGCTTAAAGGACCGCCCAAACATTGTTATTGTTAAGCCCCACCTGCATACAGGGGCCACAGCGGCTGAGCGTGAACCGGGTGCTCTGCCCCTTCCGTCTGGTTTCAGGTCATCCCCTGGTGGAGCTGCCCCTCTGTTGTCACTACATCAATTCTGGCGGCTTTTTCTTTGACCTTCCTCGCTTGGTCCTTCCTGTACTTGATAATGTTCCCACCACACCCTGAAATGTGACCTCATCTGTCCTGTTGCCTGTCCGTGAACAGTCCTTGATCTCCACTTGCTCGTTACTTTTCTTCTCCTAGCCCTTTATATACTTGATGTTTTTCTATCTTCTCTGAGTTCACGCAGAGTAGACTAACCCCCGCCTTTAATGGCTTCCATGCCTATTTCAGAAATATTTTGATGTCTGTCACCTTCACTTCAAATTCAGGTGAAGAAAGAGCAGTCCAGAGAGAGGCCATTGAGGCATGGGTCAACAAAGGTACAGATGCCTGAAATATTTGGGAAAATACATGTCAGTAGGTCTATAGCCTGGAGATGCCTAAAATAGAGTCAAGAGTTAAGACCTGGGAATGTAGGCAGATGCCAGATCAAAGGACTTTGGATATTTTATCTTTTTAGCACAAGATGCGCTGAAGAATTTAATGCAGTCACAAAGAAGTTGAAAATACTCATTTTGGAAACTCAACTGGTAGCATGGAAAACAGTAGAGAGAGGCTTGAGAAGACTAAGCAGTAAGGTAGGGAGGATGGGAAAGGAATTTATTTAGATTGAACCGTCAATAGGACTTGGTGAAAGATTGGATGTTGGAAATCAACTGTCTAGAATGGCCTTTCAGGCAAGAGTAATTGGTTGCTGGTAGTGTCATTTATTGAGCTAAGAGGACAGATTTTAGAAGAGAGTTCAATTGGACATTCAGGAGGAAATAACCAGTAGGTAATTAAAGCCATCTTAAGACTTTAAGTCTAGCCTATGACAATATATTTGGTAGTAAAAACCATATGCATGGATGAGATTATTGAACAGTTATATTGAAGCAAAATCATAATAGTAAATACAACTATTTTATGGAGAAAAAAACCCCATGGTAAGTACTACCTTTAAATGGGAAAGCTGACAGAAAACAAAAGACTGAGAAGTCAGGCACGAAGTACACCAGAAGAGTGGTATCATGGGAAACCAAAGGGGAGTTTTGGGAGGGGGGTTCGGGATGGGGAACACATGTAAATACATGGCTGATTCATGTCAATGTATGGCAAAAACCACAATAAATTAATAAAAAAAGAAAAAGGTGGGGGGAGTTTTAAGAAGTAGGCTGAGCACATGGAAAAATGAAGTATCTGTTGGACTTGACTACTGGGCTCCTGGAGACCTCAGTGGGAACTTTTTCTAAGCCAGAATTAACTGCAAGCTGCTGAAGAACCATGGGCTGCTGGAACAAAGAAACCAAGGAGCTGTGAAAGGGGAAGAGGTGCTGAGGACAAGAGAACAGCACCCCTGCCCCCTTCCCAAGGCAGGCGCTCAGGATGGATGCTGGAATGGGGAGATGCTCTCACAGCAAGTGGTCCAGAAATGGAGTCCACAGCTCAGACCTCGATTTTCTCTATAAAGAGGTATACTGCCTGGTAAGCAGGACGGTGGTGAAAGGCTGAAACTGTTGCTGGAAGATGACCCAAGGAATAAATGGGCTGACTGCTGATTCACTGTTCAAAAGCCTGGCCAGACTGGAAAATATAGTGGCATCAAGTCATTGCTATGTGGTTCTTTGTTACAGTGGACACAAAATGCAACTACAAGTTATAAGGGTTAACAGAAGGGTTGCAATTAAAAGCCATACCACTGATAATTCCCATCAGAAGAAATACTCTCATCATTACATACTGTCAACATGTATTTCTAAATCGAGACCTTAGGTGAACTTACTCTGCAAGAGACACAGAAGATGTAAGGTGGAGTGGTAGAGGGAAGCAAGCAGCCTTGGCTTAGCCTAATGAAAACCAGTTAGTAATACAGCACAGGTGGGAAAGAAATGCGCGTTTAAGATACGTCTCATTAGCTGTCTTCCATGTGACTTCCTGGGCTTCCCTCGTGGCTCAGCCAGTAAAGACTCTGCCTACATGCAGGAGACCCAGGTTCAGTCCCTGGGCTGGGAAGATCTGCTGGAGAAGGAAATGGCAATCCACTCCAGTAATCTTGCCTGGAAAACCCCATGGACAGAGGAGCCTGACAGGCTCGTTCAGTCAGACACGACTGAACGACTAATGCTTTTTCACGTGACTTCTTTGCCCTAACAGAATATTATGGGAGACATGACTCAAAAAATGAAACTGCAGTGCAAGAAAAGACAATAGTTATGTGTCAAGGCATATGATACAGATTTTGAAACGTGAAATATTTAGGAAATGTTTTAAAAGGAGGTAGAGTTTGAGATTAACCCCAAATGGGATAAGAATCAATGAGTTTTTCTTTGAGCTTTTATTAAAAAGTACCATCAAGTATGTTTATGGAAAAGATAAAAGATTACAAAGGGAGCTGTTATAAAAATCTGTCAACCTAAGTAGTGTCTAACCAAATGCACAATTAAAGGCCACAGATATTAAGTATCAGTTTAAATTTCTAAAAAATGTAAAAATAGACAACTTTTCTTTGTAGTAGAAACAGCATTATTATGTGGAGTTACGGGACCTAGTTTGGTGTGAAATGAGGTTCCTCTGGTCCCTCCAGTTCCTAAAAGAGCTAGAGTATTATTTGTTCTTCCTCACCCAAAAAAGGTCTGATTGAGAAACAAATGGTCTGATTTCAAATATAAATTACTTAAGTGTGGCCAACACTAAAATAGTAAATTCATTATGGTAAGTAGAACATTATAATAATTACATGACAGTAATTAGGAAGTGGAAACATGCAGGTTATTTGCCAAATATTAATGTAATGGAACAAAACAATTTCTTCACGCAGCAGCTGGGAAGGAAAAATAGGACTTCTATTACTTCTTAACTAAAAAATGTTTATATAGTAGCTTTTGAATATTGTTATAAATATCACCAGAGACCAAAACACAAGGTAAATTTCATTTCTATATTTCAGAAAACCTACTTGAATACACTTTGAAACAAGAGTACAACAAAATAGAATATACTTCAAATGTTGAATATACAAACTATTATAGTTCAAATCTGAACACTGGTACTTTCCCTCTTAAACTTCAACTAAAAAAAAAAAAAAGGAAGAAAGAAAACTCCAGGTATTAGAGTTACCTGACAAAAATCATGCTGAGCCTTAACTTCCAAGTGACAGTAGAACTGAAACGGATATGTCTGCACAGATGCCAGGGCTAAGTGAGTGACAAACAGGCATGTTATAGCAAAAGGCCAGAGCCAACTGTTAATTTGTCCACAATTAAGAAACTGACAGATTTAAACTACCATATAAAATGTTACATGTAAATTCTATAACAATACTGTGCTAGGTACAAGATTTTTAAAATTTTTCTTTTAATAAAAAAGCTTTACACAAACAAGCCATTAGCTTATTTCAATAAAGAAAACCGAAAATTAGTCTAAGGCCTTTGTTTTAAATCAGCTTAAGCTATATGATAAAAACAAAAAAAAACACACTAGATCTTTTTTGCTAACCTCTTTCTGAAGCTTTTGGATCCATTCTTCAATTCACATTCTAAAATACCTATATTAGCAGTTTTCACATAGCACCAGTTAAGTGAGTTCTGTGTGAACACAGTAATAATTGCTGGTATGCATATAAAATGCATCAAAAATTGCTATATGTAACAACAAGATCACCCATCCCAATCCCTCCCCACTGAAAACTATATAACCTCTTACAGAATGTTAGTGTTCCAAGTCTTAGTGTAACTTGATATTGTAGTGAGTTGCTTGGTCCCTTTCAGTCCTTTTTCTTATTGACGGGTTCAGTTGTTTCCTACTGTAAGAGGCAGTTTTCTGTCAGCATCTCAATATGTAGTTCATTTCCCACTGAAACATGGGATAGGTAATTTATTTCCAGTAAGTCTGATTGTTTTCTTAAATGCACTAAAGATGTTTTAAAGTCTTCTGACTTCTTTCGATGACATCCTTGCAAATACTTATACCAGGACTATCACTAACATTCTAATGTCCACGGGAGCGCTGCTGTTTTATTTCTCACATGTTACCAGTCCTTCCGTTTTCATTGTTACAGGAAGGGCAAGAGCTGAAGGCGCACTGACAACCACTACGTGGGTCACTGTCTTATTTCCATCTGCTGGTTTTTCTTCTTGTACCAGCTGCAAAGTTTTCACATCATGTTCCTGCTTTTTCACCACTGCTTCTGATTTAACCTCTGGCCCTTTTATGACAGCGCTGATAACCCGGGGAGGAGTCTGGCCAGATGCCTGTTGAGGGGGCACCGATAGTCTCATTACAGGGGCCCCGTGAGCTATTGAGACAGGGGTAAGTGCTCTCACAGCCAGAGGGGTGCCCACAATGTTAATGCTTCCCGATCCACTCAGATTCGACTTCGTCTGCAGCTGACACTGTGCAAGTTGTGTAGCTGGGATGGTAATAATTTTGGCAGGCTGCATGGTGATTTTGTCTCCATTTTCAGTAGAGGCTGGCATCACAGTAGGGATTGTCTGAATAACTACCTTTGGAGAGGCTGCTGTTGTCGGACTAGTGCTGGTTATTAATGGTGCACCTGCATTAACTGACTGAACTGCCACAGTTGAAATTTTCTGACCCAATGATGTCATTACAACAGGTACTTGCATTGCCACACGAACTGTCCTGGTTGATTAAAAAAAATAAATTTGATTATATGTAACACTAAATTATCAAACAAGTCTGAGAGAGAGAAAAAGATGAATGCAAATCCAACATATATAAAACTAGTGAACCCAATTTTACAGATGTGCCGAAAATCTCTGAAGTTTACAGCATGAAATAACATGAGATGAATATATTTAAACATGAGCTGAATATATTTATATATATATTTAAAAGCCTACATTAAATTCCATCTATAAAATCATAAAAATCAATTCAAGTAAGAAAAGACATCTACTTTAATAAGAATATTTTAATTAATACATTTAAAAATACCAAGCACTTTTCAAAGTCTTGACAAAGAGTCAGTTCTTAGAATGCAAATATTAAAAAAGGAACATCCCAGTTGTGCCAAAGAGTTTTCTAAAAACTAAACACATTACCACTACTGGTTTCCCTCACTTACCTCGGGGCTGCGGTTGCTGATACAGATGTGGTAGTAGTGGGAGACCTGGATGAAGCATCATGACCAGGGGGAGTGATGTTCACAACTCTAGCTACACCCTTCTCTGCTCTGGAGCAGTTCAGGGAGGCTGAGTTTTTCCCACCACGAACAGAAGTTGCTGCTTTTAAGAGACTTTCTGCAGACAATGATACTCGTTCTAATGATTTTTCATCAGTAGCTGCTGCTAAATCTTCACTACAGGTTTCACTTTTGTCATCATCTATGACCACTATGTTTTTGGGCATATCCTTGAACTGATATACAAGCCTCTGTCCTTCAACCTTTGCAAGAATACCCCTTTGGTAATAATATCTGTAAGGGAAAAGTATTAAATAAGTCAAGTATATTATGTTTGCCCCCCCCCACAATCCCCAAACAAAAATACCATGAAGAGATGCTAACAGAAACACTCACTCACTCTAGGAAGCGGTAAGGTGGGACTCTATTCAAAAGGCCAAGAATGTGAAGTGGCTATGAAATTAGAGCTTGGCACCGTCTACCCTATAACCCTGAAATCTGTGAATGAGCTAAACGCTCACTGTTTTTATTAAAGGAAGTTATCTAACCTGAATACAGAATGTATTGCTGTCCAGTTGGCCCTCTATATCTATGGGTTCCTCATCCATGGATTTAACCAACCACAGATTGAAAATGCTCAAGGAGAAAAAATTTCCACAAGAGTTCCAAACAGCAAAACTTGGATTTGCCATGTGAAAGCAACTACTTAGATTGCATTTACACTGTGTTAGGTATTGTATCATCTATAGATGATGTAAAGTATATGGGGGATATAAGTGGGTTACAAGCAAACACCACCCCACTTTATATGAGGGATTTTGATCATCCGTGAATTTCTGGTATCCAAGGAGGGTTCTGGAGTCACACCCCTCAGATACTACTGAGGGACAACTAGATTTTATAGATACTGGTAAAAATTTAGTTCTGATTTACATAGGTTATAAAAGCAAGTTGGTGTTATGTGGAAAAATTACCTAAACCATATTTAGTAAAAATGAATTTGTGGCATATGTGAATACTATCACATAAACTATGTTCATTTACAAATACCCTTAAGCCGTGTACATTACAAAGTTATGTACACAGAAAGTTTATGTATACATAAAGTTATGTATTTGGGTTCCTCAAACTGACAAAACTTATAATGGATTTATTGTGATATGAAAATTTTAACAAATTTGCAGAAACTAAAAAACAAATTCACAGTTTGGAAACTGTACAATGTTTGGGTTTAATTTTCTTAAAGGCACACATTTTCCACAAATGGATTTTCCAATAGTGTTCAAACTGTAGCCATCTAGACTAAACTTCTCTCTTCATCTGCCTCCAGATCCAAGAATTTCCTCTAGAAAATCCACCCAAATTAAAAGCTATAAATATTAAGAGATTTTAAGAGCTTCTCTTTAAATATAAGGTTTCCCAGGTAGCTCAGTGGTAAAGAATCCACCTTACAGGAGACACAGGAGACCTGGGTTCAATCCCTGGGTCAGAAAGATCCCCTGGAGGAAGAAATGGCAACCTAATCCAGTATTCTTGCCTGGAGAATTCCATGGACAGAGGAGCCTGGCAGGCTACAGTTATGGGGTTGCAAAGAGTTAAGACACAACTGAGCACTCTCACACAAAGTATTAACAGACAGTATTAAGAAATACATAAGTTTTCTTTGAAAACTCTTGTGTTCTTACCTCAAAGCTCGTCCCATAGTTTCATAGTTCATGTCTGGCTTGTTCTTATGCTTCCCCCAAAGCTTAGAGACAGCCTTTGAATCCACAAGCTTGAATATGCCTTTTTCTCTCTGAGTCCACTTAATATACCGAGGACAAGTATTTTTATCTTGAAGTAGATCTAAAAGAAACTCCCACAGATAGGTTGTGTTTCCTTTGAAAAAAATTATAGATACTGATTAAAAATTCATCAACATAACTAAAAGCAAGTAGTTACTTACGCTGAATAAAAAATCAACTTACTACTGGTAAAGAACAAATGTACTAAGAGTCTGCCATTAAATACTTGACTATGTTATCAATCATTTGTACAGTGTCAAACTGTGTTGTCTAGTGAATGACAATTCAAGAAATAACAGTTTTGAAACAATATAAGCTATATCATAATGCCATGCAGTTTTATTTCAAATCAATGACAGAAAATAATGTCTGGGATCTCAGGAGTGAAAATAAAGTGGACTTGTAAGACATTAAGTCTTGGAAGATGGCTAAGATTTGCATACCAGAAGAATAGGAAGGAATGTGGGTAGGCAAAATAAGGAACTTAGTCCCAAAGAGAAGAGAGCATCATTCTTTTCTTTTTTTGGAAGGGTGGGGAGGAGTAGTGGGCAGTGTTATGAGAAGACTAAAGACAGGCTGCTGTTTTTCTTTATTCCCTCCGGTACGGAGGTTCTTAAACTGATGAGAGAACAGAAGAGAGTCCTGAGAAGATTAGAATACATATGCCACCACTGAGCCACCGGGTCATCTCTAGGCTCCTGCTCATTAACCCTTTACTATCCCCAAAAATTCAGATTTTGGGGTGGGGAGGCTTCCACTACTCAATCTAAACACTGATGCTCTTCCTCTAGCATTTCATTTTCATCCTGTAATTTCCCCGAAAATTCAATAAATCCATTAACCCGTAGTTGAGCCCTGTGTGCATTCTCTTGACCTAAAAAGATTAATCTTCAACTTTACAATGTTATTACATTTGTATCTCCGAAGACCTATTACATCAGTATCAATACCTAAAAACTCTCAGTGTTAAATCGCAACTTTCAACTACATCAGTCTCAACTGAATCAAGAGGTGTAGTTGGGAATTTTTATTCTGTTTATGACCTGGAGATAATAAGAACTCATTCTAGAAGAAATTTTTGTACAACAGAAAATACCTTGTACATAGTAGAGGTCTGAATGCTCCTGCGTCTAATGAATTAGTTCTAGTTAGACCCATTGACATTCTTCAGGTTATCTTTAACTGCTTCACTCCAGTTACCATCCCTAAGTTAAAATGAACAATTCTATTTCTGGTTTTAAGAAAAACAGAATTCAGGACAGGAAGCCTTTTTCATCAGACAAGGTAGTTCATAGAGTCTATGCAGACATCATAATTTTGCAGAAGATGAAGTGCTGACTGGATTTTTTAATCCAGGTGTGACTGTAATGACTTTAATCTTCACACAATAACATATTGCCTCAGGTTTAATAATACAAAACTGAAATTTTAATGAAAGATGATTTTGACTTGTAAAAATAGGTTACCACAAAATTTTTTTCCAGTGTTAAACATAAGGTCTTTCAATATGAGATACCATTAATGATGGGAGTAATTTTAAAAACAGTAATAACTGTATATTTACAGTTCAAATTTCTAACACTTACTACTAATAAAGTTTTAAGGTTTTCAATACAAATTAAAAATTAATACAAATTAAAAACCTAAGATGTTAGGAATGTACAACAACCAAAGACAGAGAAGAAAATAAAACTATCCTAAACTTGTCCCAAACTGAATAACAGTTCGTAAGTAAATGAAGGTTTACGTAACTGGATTTTTAAAAATCTAACCAAATTTCTTGGTAGATTTACTGACTTAATTTTTTTTTATTAAAGACTTAATCCAACAAATTAAGAGAGCAGAGACTCTCTTTAAAAGCAAAAATAGCTTTTAATGAGAATATACAAATTCAATATACACATCAATATTTTAAAAATACATCAAAGTTTTGTTTAGACATCCTTACTGACATGACTGAAATTTGTTGGTTGGAAAAGTAAATTCACCTTGCTTCTATCAGTTAAGAAAAGTATGTATCAGAAAGGAAGTCTTCATTTTGTAAACCTTTTCAAATGTAAGTGACTCCATTTGACTCTCCATGAGGATGGGTGTAAATATACACACATCATTCAAAACACAGGTGTGCATCAGACTGCACTCAGGGCCTTTTCCAAATCCAAATGCTTGCCCAGCCCCAGCTCCACTCCCTACAGTTTCTATATGCCTACAGAACCTCACTGGGTAAGGACCAGGCAGAGATAAGTTTGAAAAAGCTCCCCCTCTGATGCACATACACCCCTGATTAAGAATTACAATCCAAGACAGCACTACAGGGCATGTGCATGTACTAGAAGTAATTTTCCTACAAATGTACTTGACTGGGGGGAAAAAAAATCCATCTCACCTACAAAACAGCCCTCCCCAAATTACCTTTTCCTTCTCTGGGTTTCTTCTTTATACCTAAGTCAGGAGACCCATTGGAAATTGGCGACTGCTGGGTCTTTGGTTTACGGCCAACTGAAAAAAGAAGATATTGAAACCATACATGGAAAACAGGAAAAATAACAGAAACATGATAGCAGGCTTTTTGATAACACATTATTTATGAAACTAGACACTAATTTATGGATTAATATACTGTGTATATAAAAGCTGCTTTTAAAAGGAATATTAAAAGCACTTCTACAATATAAATTACAGCAGTTCAGTTCAGTCGCTCAGTCGTGTCCAACTCTTTGCGACCCCGCTTTGCATTAATTGATAGTAAAATCAATGTACATGGCAAGTCAGGTACTACTAACCTATTATTTACATGGTCACAGTCTCAATTTGCTAACCTTTTCCAATAATGTAGCAATGGAAACAAATTCTAGTATAAACTTTTGTTTTCTGTTCTACAGAATTGTTAGAAAAAGCTTTACCTACCTATTGCAGAAGATCTGATAATCTGCGAAGCCCTTTGAGCTCAAATGAGGAAAAGTAAAAAATATTATTTTAAACACTCTCTACTGCTCTGAGCCAATCAATTCACCAGAATTTAAGCATAAATTTCCCCACTTCAACGTGCAGCTATAAGGATAAAAAAAAAAAAAACCTTCCAAGTAATTGCTTCATATGTCTAAGAAATGTTTGTGCCCTTTCATTTCTCCTCACTCCTGCCCTAAGCCACACTCAAGACAGTCCAATATCCACAATGAACAGAAAAGCAAGAGCTACACTTCTCTACAGTAAGGAAAGCATATTTCTGAAATGTATTGTGTTCAGCCCTCAGCATTGAGGATGAATGCTGGCAGGTGAGCCAAGTCTCAACAAAGAGACTGGGAATATTAAGTATAGTATTACTGATTTGTGATGGTCATACACCTGGGATTTCTGATGTCTCTACTCTTCATTAACAATGATTATCTACAGCTAAATTAAAATGCCCTAATTTATATTTGAAAAAGCATAGCTATATATTCTAGGATTTCATCATGGTAATTCTAATCAATAAGAAGTACGTTTTGGCAAAAATTAAAACAAAGTTCACCAGTCTCCTAATTTAAAATAGAGCTTAATTTCTCAATTTAAATAATATTTATATATACAAAGCAGTCAATAGCAAGACCAACATCTTCTCTGTCTCCTAAATTCAAGCACAAAAGCCCAACTCCTTAATGGAAAGGTTAGTCCCCAAAGGCTTATTTTCTTATAAAGCAGCATGTCCCAAATCATGTTACTTGACAGATAGGTTATTCATCAGTAGGAAAAGGGTTCTACAGTCAAATTAACTTTCAGAACTGCACGTAATCATCTCTTGGAGATTTATAATGCACATTAGTATATTAAAAGCTCTGGAAATAAAAATAAGGCCCTACTATTAAAAATAACCTACCTAACTTTATATGTCCCAAATGTACTTAACCACAAATGAATAATTTGTGGTGTTATATGTAATTTTTAAATTGTCATTCATTAAGACCATCTATTTTCAAATACGTAAGATCAGTATTAAATTGGCAAATTATTTCCTGGTTTATACCATACCATCATGTATGCAGATCAACCTATTTATCTAGAGATCTTGGTTCCCTAAATACTCCCAGCTTTTCATAGTCTTTTTCCTTTTCATTTAAATCTAAAATTTTCTTAGGTATTTTGTAACAGTTTGCATAAGATACAACCAGTCAAAGGCTACAGTGGGCAGTGGGTAAACAGGGTTTTATTTACATGTATGTCTTTTGTTTAAATATTTACAGTGGAAAGTAATTCTTCCTTCTAAATTCTCTCATCCATGCCTTTCTCAAATATATATGTAATCTATAAGAGGGAAGGCAACCTGTGTTATTCTTTGTTGTGTCCCTCAAAGCAATGAGGCACACACCTGTGAACATCACAGCAATCTGAAATACTGCTATCTAATAAATGATTAGATAATACCATTATTTCTAACACAACTGTTCCCCTTATTTTTCGCCTTTGATTGTTTTTTCCCCCCAACTCTAAAATGTGCAGAAAGAGGCAGAGAAAAAAGTGGAATTAGGTGAGTACCCATTTACACAGAATCTCACTTCTTTCAAGTTTTAACTTTGATTCGAAAAGAAAAAAAGAACCCACTCAGGATGCTAGAGATGGATGGAGCACTGTGCACCACCCAACCACCCCCAACCCCCAGGATCAGATGAACACAGGTTTCAGCAGGAGTCAAAGAGTAAGTGGAAATGCTCTTTACCCAAAGGTGAGTTTAGTCCCCTCAGAATTCCCTACAGGCAATCGTGGTGTTTTAAGGCCAAAGATAGTGGGGAAGAAAATTGGGCCTTTTATTTTAATGCCCACAAAAGAGTAAGAAGATAAGGTTATGAAAAACAGAGTCAAGAATACTTTTAAGTAACCAAGTACCTAAAAGGATCAGAAAGTAGAAAAATGTGCAGTGAATCCCTGATCTTCCTTCTGGGCTGTTCAGTCGCTCAGTCATGTCCGACCCTTTGCGACCCCATGGACCCCTTCTACGTATCAAGTTCTTACTATAATCTCATTTTTGGGCTACTACTTTTAGGGCTCAAATATTAACTCCTTTAAACACTATGAACATGTTAAAAGACACAATTAACAATCTCAATTTTTTGAGAATATCTAATCAGTATAACATCGATCATAAATATAGCATGTATTTCCCATGTCTCTTGATGGAGAAAAAAGATACTAGAAAAAATTTCACCCAATTTCCCAGAAATTTATAAATACACCCTACCTTTTTTCTTTTTCATTGGTTCATGGCTATCTGGTGATGTCGGAATAGGAGAGGCATCCATTGGTTCAGATTCTTCGGTTGACACCTCCACTACAGTTTCTGTAATGACATCTGGCCGCATAGCAGCATGGATAAATTCTGGAGTTGATACACAAGGAGGGACAAACACTTCCACTATAAAAAAAAGTTGAAAAATTAAAATTTCCCACCCCCATTAATGCCTCTTAGCATGGACAATTCAATTTTTAGTAAAGGTGAGGTTATTAAGAATTCATCAAAGCAGGGGAAGAACTTGAGGTTAATTTGTTGAATATACAATACGATCTAAAGTATGTAAGTAAATAAATGCAAAGAAACTCAACCTGGAGAAAATGTTAATCTTCTGGGTAAAGGGGGAGATCATGAGTAGTCAACCCCCTTGCTTCACACTTTAGGTACTTTCAAGTTCATTGTAGAAGACTTTGTATCATTTTGACAATTGGGAAAACAGTTGAAAATAAAACAGTATAACAGTGAGTTAATAATTATTTTCCTTCTACTTACTCATCATTATTCTCTAACAAGGTAAAACACACACCTGGTATAACATTAAAATGATAAAAGCATATTCAGTGGAAGTAAGCACTTATGGTTCTCTCTCTCTTTTTTAAAATAACTTTTGGCCACACCCCAAGGCATGTGGGATCTTAAGTTTGCCCACCAGGATCAAACCTGCCCCTTCTGCACTGGAAGGCCGAGTCTTAACCACTGGACCACCAGGGAAGTTCCTACAGTTCATTTTAAATATGAAAAAAAACCTGCTCATTATAGCCAAATGAGTATCACCTTTCAATGTTTTTCATTATAGCCAAATGAGTATCATCTTTCAATATTTTATTTAATGCAACAGTCCCTAATACTTTGGGTCACTGAAATGGTGCATACATATTTTTAGTATTCTATTACGTATAATAATGTTGCTCTGGCTTCCTTTCAATGTGCCTGAATAACTAGGATATGACATTTCCATTTCAATTAATACATACTACCATAGATGAATACACTGACCAATATGCACTAATTTTCTTCTCATATCCCTGAATAACACACGGGATTACTACTCTAATTAAAAAGTACAGCTGAAAAAAAAAAGTACAGCTGATCTTAGTATTTACTGTAAATCCCTAAAAGAAGCATCAGTCTTACCGTATTAAGTCAAATTAACATTTGGACATTAAAATTAGGGACAAAAAGATTCTCAAAGGCAATCTGTAAAAAGAGACCAAAACCAATGGAAAGCCTGAAGCCTGAAGGGAGTGTGAAGAGAGGTGGACACTATCCTCTCTCTTCCAAGGAGTAGTCCCAGAGCTGCTGCCCCTTATCACTGAAGGAAGGACTCACAGTGGGCACGGGTGGCAAGAGCTCCCATCGGCCATTCTCCAGCCATGCTCTAAGGGTTTCTCATGTACCCAGAGTTAAGGAAATGAGACACAATAGTAGAAACAGCAATTTGACATTATCTGTCTACAGTGGGCACCTTCTGTATCAATTATTTTGAAAATTAAGTATTTAAAGCATTTAAGACTTGGGAACATTGACAGGTAAAAAGACCAGTTACTGCTGTCACAGGTATTTATGTATAATAGACTTTGAGAACAACAATTCCCTTGGATTAAAAAAATTTTTTCATTCTAGATACATGAAATGATAGGATATCTTTAATATAATAAAGAAGAGTTCACATACCAGGACTTCTTGAATCTCTCAAGCAGGTAGGAGATTCCATATGAAGCAGGGCTTCAGCAGCTTCAATTGTCTTATCTGTACAGTGTGCATTACTGCTATGAACTGATGCTTCCACTGGAGGGGAAATAAGGTCCACTCAATAAAAATGCATTGAACACTTGACTGAACTAAATGCTCACGTTTAGTTCATAACTCAAAATAAGCCATTAATACATATTAGTCTATACAAATTACAGAAATCATTTAAAAACTAAAACAACAAACCTGCCACTTATAAAATGTATGTTGATTATAAAGCAACTATTGAGATTAATTAGAAATTTCTGAATCTTATCCAAAGGAAAACAAAGTCAGACTCTTGAAATTTGAACTCTGTATCAATTTTAGGCCAAAACTAACTTGGGATAGGGGGAAGGATAGTTGTAGATTAACAGTCCTATGAAGTCTATTGTAATTTTAACATACTGCTACTAAAATCGGGAGTTAACACCTAGCAGAATCAGTCAGAAACTCATATTTCTAAATTACTTTAATGAATTAGTTCAATTCTTACAAACCCTCCTGGTGAGTGCACTGGAGAACTCAGAAATTTTCTTCACAATTATCTGCTTTCTTTTCAAAATTTCACTGGACTTTGCTGGGTTTCACCAAAGAAATTTAGAAAGGCAAAAAAAGAGAGAGTGTTCCTAATCCCACCCTTCATGAAGCCTTTTCTAATTCTACCACCTTTTGTAACTCCTCTAATACTTACTTTATGCTTTGCTGATTAAATTATCTGTGAAAAAGCTTTGGTTCTAGTCTCTGCCACGTATTTCTGTAACCTAAGGCCAGTAATTTAAATCTTTGTATGGTCCAGTTTCCTCTTTCACTAAACAGTAATATTACTTACCTCATACAGTTTTGAGAATTAAATGCAGTGATTTCCTGAAGAATTTAATAAATGGTGATAACTTCTTATCACTTCTATGTGATTATAAGCTCCATGAGGTCAGGGAGGGCTAGCTCCCTGCCCACCCCTTCCCTCCCCCCACCCCCCACCGCCTTTTTAGCCACATGGCATGCAGGATCTCAGTTCCCAGACCAGGGATCAAACCCATGCCCCCTGCAGTTGAAGTGTGCAGCCTTAACCACTGACTGCCAAGGAAGTCCAAGGGAGGCCTGTCGTAGTCATCCTCATATCTGTTATAGACCCTAACATAGATTCTTCATATAGTAGGTATATAAGTATTTCTTTTATTTATTAAAGTTAAGGACAACTGACAGACCTCACAGAAAAGTAGCAATCCAAGCATAAACTCATTATCCTAATGATATATTAATTTCACATCCTGATTTGAAATACTGAAATTCTACTTTTTAAGAGGTTCTGAAACACGAATATGTTTAACAGTTTCTAATTTGATACATCTTTCTCAAGATGTCCTCTCAAGGACTAAAAGAAATACACAAATTTCATAAACCACTATAAATTCACAAGTTCTACACACTAAAGACACAAATCTTTTAAAATTATTTCTAGTAAACTTTTAATTGAAAAAGATTTTTTCACTTAGTTTCAAAATTCACCAAGTGCTAAGGCCTCAGCCTTAAACACCAGTCATTTGGAGAGCATTTATAAAAAATCCAGTGACTGCTTTACCACCTGTTGCACATCATCCACACTCTCAACCAAGGTACCGAGTCTCTCCAGTTGCTCTTTCCATTTATGGAAATCTGCTCAAAGCTAAACGGTTCCAGAGAGGCAGCCAAACCTCTAAGTAAATCTATCTTTAGGTGACCCTGCCTACTCTTATCTGCAGCCTCACTGAAGCAGAGGATTCAATCAGTCCTTCTAGCTCAACTTTAAGAAACTTACCATTAGTAAGTATAAAATGTATTACCATTCTCAAGAATATTTTTTTCAAACTACCTCCCTACTCATGTGCACTAAAGAACCTTAGGAAGAAGCAGTTTCAGGGTTTTAAAGTTTATTCTAAGAACTTCATTCTCCTTAAAGTCGGCTTGTGTTGCAATTTAGCTGTTGTCTGAGGTGCTATTAATAAACTACCCTGGGTAAACTAATTCCTTATGTAATTGTATTAAGACACACCCTAAAATTCTACCATATTAAAGTTAGAGCTCTGAGTATTTCATAATAATACAGCAATAGAATCTTACCAGATATGTTAATGTTTTAAGTTATAAACAAAATTTCCCAACAGTTATATATTATACTGCCCCAAATTCCTACATAGCTTGAGGTATATTTTCTTCCTTTTTTTTTTTTTTGAGGTATATTTCCAAAACCATGATTTCATGTTAGTTATGTCAGTGAAAATTTCCTAGCTTATTTCCAACCTCAACCTCCCCTTTTTCCCTAAGTTCAAAATATTATTTCCCTAAAATATTGTACATGTACATAGTAAAACAAATAGAAAACATACAAATTTAAGGAAAAGATTATTAACTCACTTATAAATTTAGGATGAGAATATTAAACATGCATAAACTCTCTATAAACTAATGATCGGATCTTATACTCTATGTACAGTCGATAAATGGTTGCTCAGGACCTACCCTGTGCTACAAACCTGAGATACACGTGTGGAGGGGTCTCTGGCCTCATGAAGCTTATACAAATAGTTCAGAAAGTATCAAAAAGATAAACAGGAGTAAAATATTTCAAAACAAAGATGCAAAATAATTTGACAGTTTCCATGAATACTTAATCCATTTTGTTAAAAGGGAACACTATCTCCTTTTTCTCTTCAAAAGTCAATAAGTACTTTTGGGAACAGAAATTTAAGAAATATTTTTCCTATGCAAGTTTCTGTAATAATTGAAAACTTTTCAATACTATTTTATACTTATCAGTAATTCAAATACAATTTGAATTCAATACAAATACAACTAAATTCAAATACAACTAAAATTCTGCACAGTTCTTAAGGTAAATAAGACAGTGTTGTGCCATCAAAGTTAGCCAACTTAGAAGTGGCAGTTGAGAATTATTATCTCTTACTTAAAACTTGATTTACTGGTGTTTTTCTAGGCCTCTGTATTAAATTTATGGGAGTTTAAAAAAAAACTCATTTAAAAAATAGAAACAATGAAGCAAAAAGTTATCTGACAGACACATCATCATCTAGTTACCACTAGTAGTTAGGTCTCTGGTCAATATTCCTTGAAAAACTAAATGTATCAAATAAATTTCAAAACTATTTTAATCAGTGTCAAAAATTAAATTTGCTTATGCCCTCCTTTACTACTGGTAAGAGTCTTGTTCCATTTCTAGCTTTCTAATCAACTGGTGTTTGTATGGTAGACGATTCCAGACTCACTCAACAGCTGTTACTAAATACCAAACTTGGTAATTAAGTCTGACAAGAGACGTACCTCTCAGCTTTGCAGAAGAGAATGCTGGCAATAGACCTAGCTCATAATAATGTTTTTAAAAGTCAAAAGTAAAAATTAACAGCAATTTGAGAGCCATAAGAAAAAATCAGAAAACACTTCATTAGGTGATAGTGGTATTCCCCTATAAGACCATAAACTAATATTTACAAGGCCATCATCACTCGGCTACCCCACCTGACTCACCACAGCTTATTCTCTTAAGCCCCAGGACTGTAACACTAACAGATGAGTCAAGAACACAAATGAACACACTGAAAAGGAGGAAAGGTAAAGGCCTCTAATCTTTACCTGTGCCCTTTGACTTTCTACAGCTTCATTATAAGGTTAAGAACGGAAAGAGAATAAAATAATTTTCTAAAGTAGAGCTGTCTGATAACAAGAGCCACATGTAATTTTTAAATGTCCAGCAGCCACACTGAGAAAAGTTAGTGGAAGGTGAAATTAGCACCTTTCATTTAACCCAGTATATTCAAAAACATTGCCATTTCAACATGTAAAAGAAATGTACATGGTAAAGAAGTTTTCTACTATTTTAGTTTTTATGTTTTAATAAAATTTAAAATTTGGTTTATCCATTACATTTCCAATACTCAATCACCACATAAGGCTAGTCGGCTATGGTACTGAAAAGTGTAGACTAATTAAACTATAGTACAGTTTTTGCAAACTTCTTTGGTCAAAGAATCTTTTTACACTCACAGGACCACAAAGAAGATTTTGCTTATGTAAGTCTCATGTTTAGATATTTATCCTATTTGAAATTAAAACTAAAGCAACTTTTAATATTTTTTATAAAAAGTAACTTTTTCTTAAAAATTTAAAGAGTAGGTTTAGTTCACATTTCTGCAGATCTTTTTAGTACATAGTAGAAAACATCGGGGCTCTCATACTTGGGGCTCTCATACTTGCTTCTTCATTTGATCTGTTACACCCAGCCATGCAGCCTCTAGAAAACTCCTGTGAACATTCATAAAAGTGAAAAGGCACATGTCTTAGCGTTATGAAAATAATTTGATTCCACACACTCCCCTGAAAGAGTCTGGGGGGACTCCCAGGAATTTCAGTTTTTAAGAACCGAGGGTGTAATTTAGTATCAAACATAATTAAGAACACCCAAATTCTATCCTCATATTTCTGTAAGTTTTAGCTTCTAAACATAAAATCAATGTGTGGACAAAAAATTATGATTCCGTTTCCATAAGTTTGACAATAGTATTTTGTCAACTTACAAAGTTTTTTTTTTTTTAACTTTTCATAAATCAGAAACACTCTCCTGCCTGCCCCTTTCCACCAGTTAAATTTGTCCCTAAAGGAAACTGATGTTGAACTACCTGGAATGACTATTTACATATTGATGACTTACTCTTTAACTCAATTTTTATGAATTTTAGTACTAATGCTGCAATGAATTCTAAAGAGTAATTTCTTAAACACATTTTCAAATAAATTTTTTAAAAAGTAATGCCATTTTTCCAATTTTATCAACACAGGCCCTCATTTTTTCACTGCCTGCTAAACTTTTTTTTCAAAATAATGATCTTTTCAAGGTTGATACTAGGTATTCCTGTTTATAATACATCAGATTTAAGTTCAAATTTCATGATGAATTTTGACAAACTAGACAGATTTGTTCTGTCCGGGAAAATACTTAGGCTGCATTTCCAGAAAAATCTCCCCCTTCCCCCTTCCCTTCAATAACTCAGTTAACACAGAACAAT